GAAATTCTGCAATAAGACAAAGGACAAGAGGAACAATGGTGGTGAAGGCAGATGTCAGAGTCTGCGATTGGAGCGATCGGTCAAATGCCAATCGCGCGACCATCGCGCGATTCGCGCGACGATCGCGCGATTGACATGAGTCCCATCATGACCAATCGCTCCAATCGCGCGATGGGCGCGATCACTCCCGTTGTGGCTGGTGCGCCCCTCTCGATCGATAGCTCAGTCAACGTATCGATCGAGAGGGGCGCGCCAGCCACAACGGGAGTGATCGCGCCCATCGCGCGATTGGAGCGATTGGTCATGATGGGACTCATGTCAATCGCGCGATCGTCGCGCGAATCGCGCGATGGTCGCGCGATTGGCATTTGACCGATCGCTCCAATCGCAGACTCTGACATCGGCCATTCACGCGACGTCACGCAAATCACAAGTGCTCGATCAGTACTACAACGTGTTCTCCAATCCTACCGCCAATTCTGTTTGATAATGATGGCTGAATAACAACGGCTCATGATTCCACCTGTTTCATATGTCAATGGTCAAAGTTCAAATAGGGCATTAGGTTTTCTGCGATCCGTCGCAGGTTTCGCGCAATCAGCGAAATCGAAATCAGACTCTGACACCAGCCTAACTGCCTCTTGGACTAAGCCATTATAACGGAATACGGTGTGGTTCACTAGGACAGGAAAGCGACTTTTTCGCGTTTCGCAGCGCGAAACATTGTTCGCTGCGGGAATCTCGGGTCCACCGATGATTCGCTGCGGCAACCTCGGGACCACTGATGATCAGCGGTGGACCTGAGGTTTCCGCAGCGGTGAATATTTCGTGGCTGCGAAACGCGAAAAAGTGTCGCTTTCTGTCCTAGTGAACCACGCCCGAGCAGACGAACGGAGCGCCGCGCCGCCGTGTGCCCCCCCCCCAGCCAAGTTAGCACCGTGCTTTGCTGATGCTATCCACTAACTATCCTTTACTGCCAGACTTTTCCAAAACTGGGGTGGTTTTCTCGCGAACTTTTTCTTCGTTATTCATACTGACGACAGATTAGCCCCAAAGATAGTCTGAGCCACGCTATGGCCTCAGAACACGGATACAACACAAATTCAGTGATAAGACGTTTTGCGCCCGTGTCACGTCACCGTAATCACAGGTTTTATGCGTGATGCCTAGTACTGTGATTTCAGCCTTGAAAATGAAAGCGATATTTCGTGATTTCCATATCAAGTTGATTTTTGCAGTGAGTATTCAGTAATTTTGGTAATACGAGATGTCAGTGTGAAAACCACTGGTACCTCAGCATCAGTGTGATATTCGTGTTGTATGGATCAAACATCCCCGTTGGTGAATTAATGTTCATCTTATGGCTAGGCCGTGTCAGAGTCCGCAATCCATCAGCCGATGTCAGACTTTGCGACGTGAGCGATTTTGTGCAAGTGGCGGAGCGGTAGATCGATTGAGGCGCGAATTTAGGCAGCATAAAGGAAGAATTAAGGTAGTCAGTCGTACAACACTGACGACTTCTCGTCCCATTGATGCACAACGCTGTGAAGGGTCAGGTCGAGATTTGAACATTCCATTCCTCAGTGAAGCGAACATACACTCAACCTAATGTGTGGCAAGCACATTTTGCTGATTACACTAACACTATCCATTTCGTTGCGAATTTTTCGATTCTCTAGAATAGGCAGACAATCATCACGAGTACTGTTGTAGGACAAGTCCGACCGTCCCACAGTGCAAGTATGGGATAGTCGGACTTGTCATCCAAAAATGTGTTAGAAAAACAGCAATACCTGGCAAACACGAACAGCATTCTGGGTCGCACCTCCGGGGATATATTCGACTTCATATTTTTCGACGAGCTCGTCGAACCTGAAAAAAGGCAGGTATACCTGAGAAGATCCAAAAATCAAATTTAAAGATGTCAGTAATATAACAAGCGGCGGAGAGAATCCTTACAAAACGCAGAACAAAACAAAACATAAAAAAAAACTTATTTAAAACCAAGTATTGAACGAGAACCTCACATTGCATTATGCTTGTCGTCACAGAGGATGGCATCATTTTCCTTGAGGCCCCATTTATTGAGGAAATCCTGAATGCATGAATTAGTCGGGAAGTACGCAAAATGTTCGCAAATGCGGAGGATACATTTCGGGCGCATCTCAACTCCGACGATTTTGAGTTTTGCTTCGGAACACCAAGTAATAAATTTCGAATATGCTGGAGGGATTACCTTGCCAACTACAGCTTGGATGTCAAGCAGGGGATTACCACAACCGAGGAGAACGCCGTCGGGGAGATCTGACATACCAGCGAACCCTTCCTGAAATGACACCTTTCTTAAACGAAAGCAGAGAAAAAATGTGTCGGGGAGCCAACTAAGCATTGCAAGTGTCGAGCGTGGCGTCCACGTAAGTGAAGACGACGAATGTGAAACAAGTGAAGACAATGTATTCCTAACCAGTGAACATTGTTTGTCAGTGAACCACGAACACGAAAAAAAGCAGAGCGTCCCGAAAAGGTGACCAGTTGAAGCGGCCCGAGAAAAAAGTCGATGATAACGATGATGAACGATGCACACACGCGCGCAGGCATGGCATGGAGCGTGGCCTCGGGAATGACCGTCGTCGGGCGCCGCCCCTCACGTTTGCCCCTCCAACTTTAATAGGAACATGTAACTATCCATCAGTGACAAAGCAGCCTCATTTTTGTATGCAGCGAGCAGAAAAAAAGAAAAAAAAAAAGAAAAAAAGAAAAAAAAAAGGAAAACCTAATCCAAACTTTCCCACGCACTTAATGCGCTTAAATCGATAAAAAATAACCACTGCAAAAAATACGGCAAAAGCCACGGCATGCGAAACCGCACGCCTGTCTGGCATTAATTCTCACCATGTAGCCGCAGTGCACAGCTGTCACTTCTCGCCGACGGACACTTCGCTACTCTTTCTTGACGTGGGTTGTCCCCTTTTCGGAATTCAGTCGTAAACGCAGAGTTCTGCCGCGAACAAAGAGATGTCCTGATGGATGTGCGCAGGGGAGGACTGACGCTGCTTCAGGAAATCCGTGAGAGAACAAAATGAAATGTAGCCGCCTTTGTTTTGTGTCCCTTAGTGGGATGCGTCATTTCCGTGGCCGCAAAGATTGACAAACATCTTCATGGCATGCGGTTCCACTGAAATTGAAAGCGGCTGTAAATTCAGGCTTCCCTCACAATGGTTTGTTAACCACGTTGCCTGGTTTTCACGGGCAAAGCGATGAAAAATCGCACTCGAATGCCTCTGAGACATTGAACGCAAGCCAGGTGCACGGCGCATCTCAGAACAGCTTTTGGTGCCGAACGCTTCAACACTTCAGTGCTAGTAAAGAGCGGTTGTAGAGAAATATTCAATGTTTCGGGATCAAATTCAAGGGGAACGATTAGCAATGATATAAAGGGATCGAGTCTGCGAGGCACCAGAGAAAAATTGCCAACGGAACAAGAGAGCTTTGTGAAGAGCTAACATTCAGAAATATTTTGCAATCGTGAAAGCTCAGTATCTCCCAGTGATCAACCACAGTCACCCATTTATTCAAAAAGAACTGAGTTTTTCTTGTAATTTGACCATTCGAGATAGCTTCAGTACTTTTCAGAAACCAGTGGTGTGGACGTTCGAAGCCCTCTCATCACTTGGCGCAAGGTCCCACATGGAGGCAATTATGACCATTAGCAGAGAAGAACGCGTACTTTTCGGGATTTCATTTATTCGCCTCATAATAAGGCGCCAATTTCGACCTAGTTATTTTTTTGCAAATTTTATATTACAACCCTTTGCGGACCGCGTGCTGTACAGCCCATATCCCAAAGTCTGATTATGGCGTGTCACCGGAAATGACGTGGCAGCCACGCACTTGATAGAAGTTGCGCGGATAAGCTGCTTCCAACATATCTTTGCTGATATCCAGGCGAAGCATCTTATCCACGCGACATCTATCAAGTGCGGTGGCTGCCACGCCAATTCCGTAGACTCGCCCAAGCACATGGCCACATGTGAACTGTATTTAGTGGGTGCACAACACGAGAAGGAGCCATTATTTTCGGTTCATCTACTATTCTGAATAACAAACACATATACAAGAATATGAGCTTTTCTGAGCACAGAAATTACCATAACTGGATACTGATAAAATTATTGTAGACTGCAGATTAGCGATAGAATAGGCGACAAAAGCCTATGAAGGCGCGTACATAAGGCGATTCGCAATGGGTTAACGGAAGTTATACTCGAAAAGAAGAGCATGCTTTTATTTCTCTCTTCGCTGTCTGACAGAATTATATCCTATTCCTCCTATTCCGATTTACCGCGTAACTTAGCCATAAACCAATGAGCTCTGCAACGCGCTCGAGCTCAGGCGTTCATGGCTTATGATAGACGGATGGAAAAATCTCTGAAGGAAGTCGTCCTGACCCCTAAAATTACCCAGCGTAACAGTTGGCCGCCCTACTTTGACATGCCCGATCTGTTACCTGCTCCGGTGGCCTTCTGCTTCTTTCCATCGCCCGCCTTCTTTCCATCGCCCGCTTTCTTCTGTTATGCTTGAACGCTCCTACATACAAAGGGGGGGGGGGTTCCAAAACTCGTTCTCCCTCTAAAACCCGAGCTAAATTGATCACACTTTGAATACACAAGTCCGACGATTTCAACTGAAATTGAAGAGCACATTCCTATCCATCCGAAAAATTTCATAGTGCCTTCTATGCAGGCGACCCCTAGGTCGCTGGCCATCATAACGTTGCCTGCTGATCATCAGGGATCCTTCACATTCATTCAAAGCTGTCTACCATTGCTTCAATAGATGAAGACATATGTGCTTCAAGTTTGGAGTCCAGTCCACGTCCAGCCTGAGACAGTACTATTTCTTTCATTGGAGCAGTTACGGTAAGTCCCCTCCAACTCCTGGCGATGGAGGACCACCTTCTATTCACAAGGCTTGCTCAAGCCTTTAGAGGGACGCTTGAGGGATATTCCGATATAAGATTCCATTAATGCTGGGTCTGGGCGACGAAAAGTGATAATGAGCGTAATAGACCAAAGTTTTTTAGGCCCGGTGTTTGATGAAATATCGTCAGCCTATCCGTGCTTATGCCTAATCTTATTTTTGCCAGCTTCCTTACCTATAGGTACCATGTTGCGCTCTAGCCTACTTATTCAGATTTATTATATTGCTGTGAAGCTGCAGAGAAAACCAGCACACAGTATATCTCACATATGAAAATGGACAAGGGATTCAAAGCTTTTTTATTCACGCAGTGTATTAATTTGTCGTATACCGGTAGATCGTTGAGCATCGTTAGTGGAAAGAGGCCTCAGGTTGGCTGGCACAAGGCACAGCGTCAAACATTAAACGGAACGAGTGTGGGCTCCAGATAGCCAAGTTAAGCCCCGGTATGACGGCCACCACACTTATTCGTCCTAGAGCGCAGAGGAAACTTGATGAGTTGTTCGCAACACATATCAAATGTGATACCATCAAAGTCGCTGCAAGGCTAGGATATTCATATAGGTCGACTAGGAAAGATCGGAGCTCTATTCGGAAGGAACATCTCACGGTGATCTCGTATATGGCAATGCAAGGCCCTGAAAAGCTGCGTGGGTGGTACGGAAGTGAATCTTGTTCAATTTGTTCCCAGGCTCCACAAGCACGCAAAAATTGGTCTTCTTTCTCTGCTAATCCGAACGTGCACCAACAGCCCCATACAGCCCTACACACCAACAGCCAATCTACTGTCGGAAGGCACTGCAATAGGCTCGTGAACCAAAGCCGTGTTGGCTGTGCTGAACCTTGGCGAGGATATTAGTCAATCAGTGCCGCGATCTCGAAGAAGCCGTGCGCTATGTGAACAGTATGTATTCGATCTGGAGATACAGAGACTTTGGGCGGAGATAAATATCGAAGATGTTCAGCGCGTCAACGAAAGCGAATAACTTCGTGAATCAAAGACGGATGGAGCAGTGGACAAGGGTTTTTTGATTATCGAGAAATGTTTGAGGAAAATCTTACTACTAAAATTTGCCCTCTCCTTCCCCACCCAGCCCTTCTGCTTCTCCTTTCAACCATTGTGGAAAATGTTGTTACGATACGATGTCCATTGCGAGCAAGTGATTCTTCTGCCCTTTCGTCCTCCACATATGTGCAGTCCACGAGCCGAATTTCATACCATCACTCGTCCATACATTGGTTTCCATTACATGGTGTTTTAACGAGAATTTCGAATTCAGTAGCATGTGGTGAGAATACGAACGAAGCAATTCTTGACAACTTGACCAACACCCTTTCTTATCCTTGCAAAATGGCTTCCCACTTGCTTATACAATAGACATTACTGCAGCCAATTCAAATGAAAACGAAAACCCTGAAGGGCTCGACCCCACCTCCATGAAACCTGTGGTGGTAGTGGATTTTAGTGTCATTCGCTGAATGATAATCAGTCTCGTAGTTGTCTCGTTTGGGCAACAGTTCATGATGAATTCGGATTTCCATCTAAAGCCCAAAGCTGTACGATTCCGTTCATTCAGTGGAAAGAACTCATGGAGTGGAGCTTTGGTGGTGCGCAACCGTTCGAAAACATTCAGTCAGTGGAACAAATTTCAAGTTAGTAAGAGAAGAGAGTTAATGAGAGAGCTCGTATAGTTTCTGTTGCAAGTCTTATCAGCGAAATCGCAGCGTCTGGACAAGTTGTTGGGCATTACCGCCTATGGCGCGATGCAGACGTAAATCGCTTCCCGATAAGGGGTCTGGACCATCGATCGCAATGAACCCGAGTTGGGATGAGAGAAAACCTAAAACCGGCCGCTGAAGGAGTAGAATAAATTGCGACAGCGATAGTCGATTCCTTAGGCGCCCCTCACCTACTGTGCTTTCCACATCTTGCCTTTTTCGTCGTCTATCATCATGAGTTTGACGACTCAAAGTTCCTCAGTCATAAGTTGAACGCTAGAGGAAACACTGAAGACCTTCAAACTCCACTTCCTTCTGGAGTCACAAGTGAATGAAACATGCTTTAATGTTCATCAGCAAGTCCTCCATAATGACATCGGGAAGGACGTCTCGGCCTTGGGAGAGCAATCTGATAACCTTCTGGAGATCGATCAACTTCCCGACTGAACGACCACCGATCAAAAGACGTATCGTAAGCGATGTAGAGGTGGCGGAAGTGGTTGGTTCAGTAACACTCAACGATTTTTTTCAGAAAGTGCACATACTTTTACTCCCCATTCTCCACCGAGATATTACTCACAAGATACCCGAGAATTCATAAAAATAACCATG